CACTGTGTAGCATATACTAGCAGTAATCATCATTAACCAGGTAGCATATACTAGAGGGTAGCATCATTCACCAGGTAGCATATACTAGAGGTAAGCATCATTCACTGTGTAGCATATACTAGCAGTAAGCATCATTAACCATGTAGCATATACTAGAGGTAAGCATCATTCACCAGGTAGCATATACTAGAGGTAAGCATTATTCACCATGTAGCATATATTAAAGGTAAGCATCATTCACCAGGTAGCATATACTAACAGTAAGCATCATTCACCAGGTAGCATATACTAAAGGTAAGCATCATTCACCAGGTAGCATATACTAGCAGTAATCATCATTAACCAGGTAGCATATACTAGAGGTAAGCATCATTCACCAGGTAGCATATACTAAAGGTAAGCATCATTCACCATGTAGCATATACTAGAGGTGAGCATCATTCACCAGGTAGCATATACTAGCAGTAATCATCATTAACCAGGTAGCATATACTAGAGGTAAGCATCATTCACCAGGTAGCATATACTAGAGGTAAGCATCATTCACCAGGTAGCATATACTAGCAGTAAGCATTATTCACCAGGTAGCATATACTAGAGGTGAGCATCATTCACCAGGTAGCATATACTAGAGGTAAGCATCATTCACCAGGTAGCATATACTAGCAGTAAGCATTATTCACCAGGTAGCATATACTAGCAGTAAGCATCATTCACCAGGTAGCATATACTAGAGGTAAGCATCATTCACCAGGTAGCATATACTAGAGGTGAGCATCATTCACCAGGTAGCATATACTAGAGGTAAGCATCATTTACCAGGTAGCATATACTAAAGGTAAGCATTATTTGCCGTGTAGCACATACTAGAGGTAAGCATCATTCGCCGTGTAGCACATCCTAGAAGAAAATATCATTTGCCGTGTAGCATGTACTAAATGTAAGCATTGTTCTAGTATTTATTACTGTTTTCTATATCTTATTTTTAGCTCAGCTGACGAAGTCAGATGCAGGTTGTAGAATTGCATGATTGTTAGGACTGTTAGTAGTGCCTGTTAGCAGCGAGATTTCTGATTTGTACACGTAGAAGCCACATAAGCTGGAGGCAGTGACAGAGGAACTTCTCACGCCTGTCAGGCTGCATCACCAATCCTCATCCAGCAGCATCTGCAGCGACGACATGGAGAAGCCTACAGAACTGCTCATCCAGACTCAGTCACGGTACGAGTCTTGCTCCTCATTTGACTCGGTTTTTGTTAGACCTAGTAATAGTAAGACTTAGGAGAGTAAGACCTAGTCTTGGTAAGATTCAGTGTTAGTAATAGATTCAGTGTGGTAATCTCGTCATAGTTATACGCACTCCTAGTAAAATTCAATTTGAGTGACAACTAGTTATCGTGAGACCTAGTTTCTAGTAGAGATAGTTTTATAGCAAGACCCAGTTAAGACATTCAACGTTTGTTAAATGCAATAAAGTTAAGTAAAGTTAGGTGTTTGTGTATAGAAAGCTGGGATCACATATAACCTGTCATCTGTGTTTCAGGTTTTTACACATTTTGATGCTATGTCTCTCCATTCTGAAGAATTTTGCACCCGACTTGCTGGAACTCTTTGATGAGGTATGTACCTGCGCGTGGATGCCCTTGCTTACAGTGGAGCCAGAGCACTCTTCTCATCCTTGATAATGGATGTGCAGCACTAGCTTGCAAGCCTGACCATAGAAGTGACCAACGAAGAGAGGCTAAAACTTGCTCAAATTTCTCTAACCCTCTATCCAAAGGATCTAGGCTAATGTATTAAAATGATAAGTATGCAATGTGATTGTGTGTAATATATTATACAATGTAATAATGTGATACAATGTAACAAAGCTATTTCCGGGCATTTAGAGCCTGGACGTGATGCAGTTTAAGCCTGTGCTGGAACTAGGATTTAGTGCGCCTGCGCTGGAGAAAGAGGGCAATCTGACATTCGGAACGTTGGTGACGCTGTCTAACTACGGTGTCAGAATGTTGATGAAGGTAAACAAATACTGTGCACTGTAAACAAACACATATAAACTGTTTTCCAGGGGTTCGCTATATGTTTTATATGCCTACTGTTAGAATTCGTTTATGTTTACAACTTATTTCTTGGCGTAATTACCACAATTAGTCTATTTGCCTATAGAATTGGTATCTGATATTGTTTACTCAGGACAGATAGAATGTTTTGTTATCCGATGTTTTTCAGGCTGATGTGAGCAGCCTTGCTTCCCCCAGCCGTTCCCCGAACGTAAACTACGACCTGCCTAACAGCAAGTATGTTCCACTATATATATCATGAGTAAATAATAAGGGAATCCCCCTATAATTCACTACTGATATATATATATATATATATATATATATACACACACACACACAATATATATATATATATATATATATATATATATATATATATATTATAATAAATGCTATGAACTAGTGAATAGTTTATCACACTGAGTATGTTAAAGGTGACCTTGTTATAAAGAAGTTTGGCTTTTTCTAAAATGCCTGCAAGCCCAATAGGATGCAGGTGTTGGTGCCACCTATAGAGAAGTACAGCTCCTGCCGTGTGTTTATCACAGGTCTGTTGTGACATACTTGATGGAGACCTCACTAGGTTTGCTGATGTGCCAGGCATGTCTTTACCTAAGAAATCCCAGGCTGGCACCCCGAGACAAACAACTGCTGAAGAGGGAGCTCTCAACAGAGCTGGTACGTAAAGGATTTCTGCTCTGTCGCATTCTTAAAACACATGTTAAAAATTTGTACTTCACAAACGTCACTGTTGTACATCTGTAAAATAAATATATATCTGCATAATCTGATGACAAGGTGTTGTTTTCAAACTTGTTATAGATACAGGAAAAAATCAGGGTATGTGTTGACACATTGTAGGTCTTCGTTAATTAATCCATGAGCTCCAATCATTTAATCCAATTTGCTCTATCAGCTCTGATTGAGTCACAATTGTTTGTTTCGTCGAAGTACAGTCTATGTAATTTTGATATTACCTCGGAGAATTTTCAGAAATAAGGCAATGGTGATGGTGACTATACTACTGAGCTGTACAGAGAGAGCTGCATAGTTTCATATTTGACTACCGTTAAAGGTTTACTAAAAAGGAGACCTCTTCCCTCACGTGCCTACTATCATGCGTATTGTTTGCGTATCAGTAGTTTTTGGTTGTCATATATTATCTACGAACGTTCTAATCCATGTAATTCCGTAGGAACGGTCAATGGCCGGCCCGTGGTCACTGTAAAATATTATTTCCAGTCCATTATGGTAGTTCAAAATTTCTATTTTAGACGTCGTACCTGATGGCAATGTACAGGCACGTGCGCAGGGGGGCGCCACCATCACCCGGCAGCAGCTACGTTGCAAGCCCAGGCGTGGTAACCAAACCCCCACCGCTCTCGTCGTCAGGAAAGACTACTCCGAAGTTTCAGACGAAGTTGCCCTGGAAGTTCTCCATGGCAAAGGAGCAAGCCTTCTTCAGACTTGTGCAGCAGTTTGTTGAGAGTGTCCTGATGTGATCGGTTATCCTGTCAGAGCTCGGCATGTCTGCTCTGATTCATCACTAGATCGCCGCTGCATGAAGCATCCAAATGACTGTGGTGCTTAAGGTTGACGGACCTGTGCGTAGTGACGAGTGTGGTAGATTGCTAGTGACCTCTATTGTCATCTAGTGGCATCAACGTATGTATATCTCATCGATGATTCGGTTTGTGTGAAACGTGAGGAGGATGGATATAGGAATGCCGGCAGCATCTTCAATACACTCGGAGGCGTATTGTGATGATGTAAGAGAAGCCAGGTAAAGAGGAAAATGTGTGGCACAGCACAGAAGATCATCTCAGAGCTTTCCAATCGCCACGGCTTTGCAGCGATGAATCACTAAATTGCGATCCCGCTGGATTGAACATATATCATGTGGCTTCACTTCTCATTGTGCTAGGGGCCTAATTAACACAAAGGTATGCGTCTCTCATTGTCACATTCTACCGACTTTTCCTAAAAGCAACTGGCTGCTGCTGACAAACGCGAGTTTGGAGAAGCTGCAAGGTACCGTGCTGCAGGTTGGAAGGGATTCACTAGTGACAAACGCATACGTGAAAGCTGGTGACGTAAAGGATCAACTCACTGTCGGTGTATTCTTTTCCCTGCCTGGCGTGATGACGTAAACAGGGAGAGATATTTCTTGCGATGTACTTTATACCAATGTAACTCGAGGAATTGTATTGTAAAGTGTTTATTGAAATATACAAATCACAAATTTAAAGGAAATTTTCGTATTCTGTTACTATATATTGTATCCAACTGAGCTCATATTACATTTTTATGCTGTTAGGGCTTGCAATGACCAAAGAACACGGCCAAGCACTGCTCCTCTGAAATGATGAGTGTGAGCCAGCACAGTATGCAGTGAGGAGAAATCCTTGCTTTTAAGTGCCAGTGACCAGTAATGCCCCCCCCCTCCCCTGCACTAGCTACCGCCTTGGTGTTTAGGTACCATAATAAAGAATAAGCACATGTAAATTGTTAATTACCATGTATACAAATGATCATATTTTTATTCTAAACATGTGTTTACATAAAATTAAACAAAACCAATAGTGTCTACAATAAATGATTATCAGGATCATTACTAGAATTTCATTATTAAACATTTTTATACTTGGAGGCCATAAATTGCATGCTATGCTAATTATAATGAAATACTAACATGAACAATTCTAGATTTTACCTAATTACATTTAACGTGAGTTCACCAAGAAATTGTTTGTCCATGCCGTACTGATTCCAATGTTAACTACGTCCAGGTGTGCGAACTGCACCAAAATGCTTTCTCCACAGTGCACTGCTATTAGTGGCTTCTAAATTTTATTCCTGACATAATTTCTATGCACGTGTCACTGCTACCTTTGTCAACATCAGACTAGAATGATACTAGTCTTATCTGATTCAAGATGTAATGTACAAATCCCATATGATCAGAAGTGTATAATAATAGAATTATAATACATTTATTATTATACACTCCTGATGATTAAATGAGTGGATCAACAAGTCCAAAACACAAATGCAACTAAACTTAAAAGATAAAATGTAACTAGCTCTGTAAATTAATCTGTAATTTAAACCCAATAACACAGATTTTTATACAGGTAAAATAAGCACAGCAGAAGATTACAGCTAAAACATACAATGAACAATTTATAGAGCTAATTCTTCATGCAAACCTGTAAAGTGCAATTTTATTCTCTAAACAATGAAGGCAGAATTTAAATTCTGAAACGCACTGTAATGTAATACCTGTAAATGTACCTTTATCAACACCCTCGAAAACTAACACCTACTAAAACACCTTCATCATTTCAAGTGATGCAGAACTGAAATATCAATCAGAAAGTAATGCCAATGAATTAATGTAGTAAAAGCGTTTAACTGTCATTTTTGATTGTATGGGGAAAGTAGTAAAAATACTAGTAAGCCTGCTTGTAAGGTCTGCTATGAATTTCAAGTGTAATGTTCAACTCTTAAAATACTTCTATTATGATACTGCAATGTGTTTCAATAAATATAAAGTTTATCATGAAGTGACACTCACTAGTATAGACAGATAACATTAATTGCTGGCTTCCAATACAACAAATCTTATTACACATCATGAACAGGTTCAGTAATGGGAGGCGTTGTCGAAACGATACCATGAATGAAATCGGGGCACGCAAAATTTGACATATTATTAAGATACTAGTTACAATAGAGTTTGATTTTTCTGACCATTGTCTGAGATAAAATGTTGCTTAAAGACAAATCTTAGGACTAGTCACTTTTCTGGCAATGTCTTCCAGGAGTCTTTATAGGTTATCATACCTTATTATTCTGTCATCTTAACTTGGGTTAATGTTTGGTTTCTTAGACTTATTCAAATAGTTCAATTTTTTAACTTAATATAAATTCATATCTGCTGTACCTTGGACACTTGACACAATTTAAATATCGAATACATTCTGGCTTATGAAGAACTAGGCAAAGATAAAAAGCTTATAATATAAATATAATACATGTGATTGCAACCAATTGTTTGCCTATCGGACATCGCCACTTGTCCAGAGTTGCATGTGACAGCCTTCATACAAATCCAGCTTATATATCTGCTATTGCAGCATTTCGAGAGGACAAATACTTGCTGGTATGCATAGTAGAAACCGTGCTGGAACTAAAGTAGATACCTGCAGGTATTTCTCAAGTAATGCTACTACAGTCAAATGCTTCATAACCAAGCAACACTTGTGCATATGCAATCACATTAACATGCAATCACTTCCTCGCCGTATTTGCTTACACATGTCCCCAGTGTCACTGCCTTTTTCTTCTACATGTCAATGTTGTCAGCATCTCTCCGCTCTGTTGGTGACCTATGACAGCCCTCGTCTGCTTTCCTTTAAAACAAAATTATACCACGTGAAGAATTCGATCACATCAAAAATGAAAGCGTCAATGACACTATAGCTCACCTTGGGTGTGATAGAAGAGGGAGATGATATTTAAAATTTGGCAAGTGTTTCATTTATGACGGACCGAAATGTGATCAAATGTCCTTATTCCCTGTTTTATACTAATAGAAATGTTACTGTTTTGTTTCAGGGTTAGTTTTGATGCGAAAATAAATGTTTCAGATCTGAAGGTCTAAAATCTGGGCGAGAGATGGCACTACACCTAAATGATCGCCATTTTGGTTTTCGATTATCTCACAAATAAAAGTAAAATATTCCAGTCAAATTACTGTAACGAAGAATCTAAAACACAATATTACATGTAGGTATGAATAGGTAGGTAGGTAGGTAAATTTAACAAAATTGAATGAATCTAGATTTCCATTTTTGCCAAAAAGTGGGCGCAGCTCGAAAGTAGGACGTTCAACTCTCTCCCATAGGAATAACAACTGTATGCAATTTGAAACACGTGGGTCAAACGGTTCTTGAGTTATCGTTGACCGTAGGCAGACACTGAAATGCATAGTGAAATTACCAAAATCGACCTAATTTGCATAATAAAAAAAATAATAAAAACCCGTGATATGTTTTGGGGCCAGTCGTTCACTCACATACCAAAAATGAGCAAAATCCGTTGAACCTGAACTGACATGACCATTTCCATTTTTGCCAAAAAATGGGGGCATGGCTCGAAAGTAGGTCAACTGGCGTGCCCCAAAATAGGGCGTTCACACCTCTCCCATAGAAGTTATCGTTGACCGTAGCCAAATGTTGACGGACGGACGGACGTACGACGGACAACGCCCCATGGCAATAGCCCATCTTGACGATGTCAAGGTGAGCTAACAACGAGTAACATAAATAACATGTGCTGGAACATCGACTAACAAAAGTATCAAACAAGTGCCGCGGAGCGACAGCGCTCATCTAACGTCTACTGCGGTGACTCTGTGGTGGAGTGGTGGATTTCTAGTAAACCCTGTTAGTCCCAAATGTGTTCACATACACGCCGAAACAGTGGAATGCACAGGGATGGTATCAGGAACCTTCTCAAAGGAATGTTC